GCGGTTTTCTGTGGCAATATACCAGCACAAACCGCTGACTGAGGCAGCGTCTTTCCCTTGTTAATGAAACGCTGCCTCAGGCAGCGTTTTAGGACCTACCTAAAAACGCTGCCTCAGTCAGCGTTTCATTGTATTTCATGTTTTTTTAATTTGGCATTTTAAAATACGAAATTTAAAAAAAAAATAAAAAGGAATAAAACGCTGACCGAGTCAGCGTTTTACCTACCTCTAAAATAGTTTTGCCACGCGTCTATTTTCGTAAATTGTTTTTCAATTAGGCTCAGTTTCGTAAAAAATCCACAAAAACCCATCAAGTTACCGTTTATATAACTTCAGCATGAATTGACACATTTACCACATACATAAATGTGTAAAAGACGAAAATACCAGCTGATCTACATGGGATGTAAATCAGGCTGATGGACTTAGAATTCCCCTTTTTAAAGTGCTCCAGTATAATGTTTTTCCCATTTTAGCTTGATACAATCAAAATTTCATCTTTGTCCATATATTATACTCCATAGACTCTTATACAAGGTATAATCAGTATTACGGTAAAATTCTCTTTACAATTTCATAATCTTAGGTGATTAATATAGGATCCGCTAGCTTGTTCAATGAATCAAAGCAACATGTACATAGTAACCTTAACCAAAGTAGAGATGATTCCATAATTAATACTCCAACGCTTATCATTAATTACAAAATACAACCTTTTGTCAAAAAAAAAAAATACAACCCTAATGTTTTTATTTTTGTAAAAAAAATCTTATAAGATATCATTCTTTTAGATTTCCACTAAAACAAATTAAAAAAGCATACCCTATATGGCTATACAATCAAAACCCTAAAATCTTGGAAACAAAATTAGAAACTAAAGATTTTTGTTTCTTAGAGAAAATGAAGATAAATGTTGAATATTTTGGTTGCACATGATGTGTTTGATTGTGTTGCTTAAGTTAAGGTCTTTACGCAGTAATTTGGGATCATTAATTAAATCATATTGATCGATCAATGAGGATTGTACTTCCCTAGGCAATTGCTGCTTAAGCTAATCATGTAGGAAGGCCTTTATTTCCCCTTTAATTAACTTGTTAAATTAAACATTAATTTCAACTTGCAATGTTTCAACTTGTCTTTAAATTATCACAAAGACAAGTTAATTATAAGAATCAATTAATGGCCCATCCTCAGCTCTGTTGACCTTTGACTACATGAACTAACCTTTTTTGGTTAATGTCAAATTGTCAATTGAGTTGGAAGTACTTATATGGTACATCGCCACTTCTATTATAAACCTAGCCACCCGAGCGACATGTTAATATCTACATGTGTTATCTTGCCATTATCGCCGGTGTATCTTTTTAAGGGTATTGTAAAATTGGCAACACAAACCTATATGTTCTTAAAGTGAAGAAAGTTTATCTCCAAACACGTGTTTGTTCTCAAATTTCTATTATTCGAATTGTAATGAAATAGTGCATATAGAACGGTAATGAACATTTGTGTAAAACTGCATTAATTGATAAGGATAAATCAACTCGCATTATACTATATGATGACATAAAGTTTCCTTACAAATTTATATACAAATTCATTACCATTCCCACAATTTATAACCACTTACCAAACAAACACAATCATGTATGTTCTACACTAGGGTATCCCTAGAGAAATCCCCTTTATTGACTTTTCGTGCACTTTAAACTTGTTAACAGTGCTAATTAACTTAATTAAAGGAGGATAAATTCCTTTTTTTTTTTTTAATTAAACTATATGTCTACATCTGCAAATTAACATTTGGGCAGATCACATGATTAACCTATTTTTGCCTCCTCCTCTCCCTTAATTAAAGATTAAAATTTCACCAAATCATCTTATAGATAACGGGGCGATTTGGGGTAGATATGTACCTATAAAAAAATCAACAATAATAAATTAATATAATTACTCTCTAATCAATGATTAATCAACTTTAATAGGACGGATTTCGTACTGCATTAAAATTGATAAAAATGATAGTACTACTTCATAATAGAGGTACGTAATACTACCAAATCACATTATCACATGCTAACAATAATAACCCACCTTAAACATTTTGTTAATATATATAATTAATAGGGACTATAATATATATAGTCTATTATATAATTATATGTTGGTCTATTATTATTTATTTTGATTCAATTTTTTGTTTATTTAATTGTTAATTCTATTAATTCACGGCAGGATAGTAAGGAGTTCTCACATGGAACCCTTTCTATTGCCATTTTCTCCACGTTCTTCAAAGCAATTCCCCAAATTTCTGATGTCTCTTATAAAACAATTGTGTTATGTGCATGTACGTATACTTCTTCGTCTACTTGTACAAGAGAGGTGGAGGAATTAGTTGGTGGTTTATTGTCAATTTGTCATTATCTGCGGAACATATTGAGATGAATTGTCATTATGTATGAGTGTTAAGTGAATAATGCTAGTTTGGACTATCACGAGGTATTAGATCACCTTAAGTTTTATTATTTGACGAAATGCAAAGTATCTTTTTAAAGTTGAATTAGCGTTGGGTTATTTACTCAATGAATAGATATAGTAATGTCCGTCTTTCCATATACATAGGCATAAATTGATACAACAATAATAGCATGTTCGGGCATGCATTTAGCCACATTTTGACTTAAAATCATAAGTTTTACCATAATACTATTAATGCAAATTTGACATGTAAAAAGTTGTTCGCCCACTTACTCACTATTCATAGTCATCGTATTACTTGTTCTGATAGAAGTTATTCATAGCATAAGACAATAATTCACATATTATTGGCAAACTATATTTTTAATAAATAAAAATAACATGAAGTCAATCTTATAAAAAAAATAATCAAGGTAAAAGGTGCAATTGAGTTGAAGTAAAAGTGACAACGGAAATATAATTATTATATAAAATCAAATTCAAAAAATAGATAGTAACACTTCTAATATAGACATCTTTATAAGTCGGAATGTTTATAATTCAAATACACAAATATAAAATATAAGCGGAAACTTAGAACCAATACCACCACACCTGTATTCATATCGTATCATTACTTTTGTGTGACCAATACGACTACCTGTATTCATATTTGTATCATTACCTTTGTGTATATGTTCAATTCATCATTGTTTAATAAACGACAACAGAGTCACAGGCACCAATGCAAAGAAAAGGGAAGAAATACTACGAGTACTAGTCTACTAACATGAAAGAAAGAGAGATTTGCGTTTGATGGTTTTTGACTGTATGTTGATAGTATAATATGTTTATAATTAATACAGCTCCTGGTATGAAGCCAGGCATTTTACCTTGTATTCCGGGGATACTATACATCTGTTATGTGGTAGTTTTGCTGCAACTAAATTTAGTTACACTCTTCTGCCTACTCAAAATCTAACGGTTTACATATAATAACCATTTAATGCTACTCGTACCTTATTGACAATATTTTAACGAAGTTTAGTCTATAAATAAGGTTCAAGAACATTTTATATTAATTCCAATTGACAATAGTAGGAGTAACTCTTATACGTTATAAAGTGGAATCATCTTTGCTCTTTCTTCAATGTAGGACTATACACTCACAAGTGAGTTTACAATGAGTTTCAACATATACCGATGAAACGTATCATTACCATATGTAATTAATCAAAATAGTCAAATACGGAATAGTGTTTAATTAGTGTAGATCAACGTGCGTGTATGTGGCGGTTAAGGATAGGTCAAATTTTAACGAAGTTTTACTGTATATTTAATTTGTTTGTTTTGTATTTTTGCTACCTAATGCTTGTTTCTTCTTCGTTCTAAAGTTGGTTCATAATTTCAACCAAATCGACCTTTCTTGTCTAAGCTTAATTAATTGGGTTAAAGGCAACTAATTAAGTCAAATTACCCTTTTACCTTCCTCATGAAAATAGTCAAAGACAGTAACATTATGGGGAAGGGCCTCCTAATTGTCTCGCTCATCGAAACAACCATTATATCAAATTTCATGACATGTTAATGTGAAAATTAGTTAACTTTTGACTTTATGAAAAGTTGGACATTTTTACGTACACTCCAGTACTTTACCTTACATGCATCAAAGGGTAATTTTAGTCCATTTAATATTTGTTTTGCTCGTGGAATCCACACCCGAGTGCATATAAGAATTTTTAATAATGAAAATTAGGAAATTAAGATCTACTAGAAGCAGTAAATAAGTTTTTGCTTTATTTGTATAAGATGATGATAATTCTGTATATTACTCCGCATGATATTTCTCAATAACTTGTACAATCGATTTAACATAACAACTCTGTTGTCAAGAGATATATACTATATTGTTTCTATTTTCTTTTAAAATGTTTATTTTTATAATTGCATTGTTTCCCTTTTTTTTTTTTTTTTTTTTTTTTTGAAGTCTCATATTTTGAATACCCTTACTAATTGAAAATCCCCTCATGTAAGTAAAATAATAATAAAAAGAAAAAGAAAACCGTTCAAAAAAATAATACGAAGTATAGGACTACTGTCAATGTAAACATCTCGATTTCCTTTGACAACAAGGTCATGTTTTCATCACCTCGATGATACCAATTTAACCGCTTAAAAAGAATTAATTTTGATGAAATGAATAACAAAGGCTTTTTTCTTTCTTTACACTCACATATTGCGTAACCCTTGTCTTACTAAAATATAAAGCTTGGTGCATGGTCCTTTAGGGTCCGCGGTGCCAAGCCACCAAAGGGTCAAATTTGCTAAATTTGAGCAATAAACAACATTATTTGATTGGAATCATCAGTTTCTAGTTTTCACATACAAAAATATAATTTTAATTTAAGAAACTAACCTGAATTAGAAATTAGAATAAATCAACCATATATCAATCAAATGTAATTTATTATTTACGGATAAAGATAGTACTATTATTTTATATTTATATATATATATATATATATATATATATTTTGCAACAATTTTTATAAATGAAATTATCTAAAACAGCCAATATGGAAAGAAAGGAAACATACCTACCTAGGGGAGCCAACTGTCTAGTTGTTGAAAAATCTGGAAACTCCATTACATCGAAATTCTAAATTAAACACCCCTGAATGATTTATTCGACTCTTGAGGCAGTTGCAACACCAACTAATTAAACTAAATAAAACTTCCACTCTCTCAAACTATATAATAATATAATAAATATATACATTTTTCAATAAAATAAATATAAACTATAGTTTAGCTAGTAGGTATATTATATTATTTCTTTAAAATATTCAACCCCTTAACCCTTTCCATCCCCTTTAAATTGCCCCCTAACATGGTTGCTTCACCAATCATCCCCTCATCTCACTTTTTGAAAAAAAAAAAAAAAAAAAAAACCAACAAAGAAAAAATCATGGATTCAAAAAAATCCAACAAAATTAGAGATATAGTAAGGCTACAACAAATCCTCAAGAAATGGAGAAAGGTTGCTAATGCATCAAAATCCAACACAATTACCACCAATGTATCCACAACAAACACGGCCTCGGCCACTACCACCACCATTGCGAGCAATGGTGGTGGTAGCGGCAGTGGAAACAAAGGCATAAAATTCTTAAAAAAGACACTTTCATTTTCAGACAACTCTGTTTCAGGAACAGAGTATGTCCCAAAAGGTTACTTAGCAGTTTGTGTAGGAAAAGAGCTTAAAAGATATGTAATCCCAACAGAATACTTAGGTCATCAAGCATTTGGAATATTGCTAAGAGAAGCAGAAGAAGAGTTTGGATTCCATCAAGAAGGTGTCCTTAAGATCCCTTCCGACGTCGCGGTGTTTGAGAAGATCTTACAGATGGTACAGCATAAGAGGGAGGAGTTTTACTTCCATGAAATGTCTCAAAGTTTTGAGTTTCATGCATCTGATATTGATGTTATGAGTTCTACTTTGAGTGGTTGTTGTTCACCTGATTGTGATCAAATTCTTCAGCCTTCTCTTCCTCAGTTGTGCAGATGATCATTTTCACTACTACTAATTAAATTTTGGTTATAAATTTTTTTCATAAATTTTAGCCATTTTTTTTTTTTGGGTTTGTTTGCCCTTCCCTTATTAACATTTTTTTGTTGGAAAAAAAAAATGTTTTTAATAAGGGGAATGAGGTAGATTTTTCTCATTAGAACAAAACAAATTTGTTCTGTTTGTAATGGTTGATTAGTTTTTAATAGATCAGTCATTCATGTATCATTAATTCATTATCGTTTTTATTCATATTGTATTTACGTTATTTATATTATCGCACATGTTTATTTTCACGTATAAAGACGGAAAAATAGATTTTGACTTCAAAATAAATATTCCGCAAACTTAGTCTATTATTTGATACCAATTCAGTTGTATTTTCTAGGAAGTAGGAACTAGAATTTCATCTGAGAAACAGATTAATTCCCTACATTTGCTATCAATCAACAAGCCGTGATATATGATTGAGATTTGAATATTTAAAATGATTGAGAATTGTCCTCTAATTTGTCCTTTCATTCTAAGGGAATAAGATATAGTAAAAGTTGTACATTTTTATTTTATGATATCTAATCATAGATTATAGATTCAGAATATGGTAATCATGTTGTAATTTTCTTAATAAACACTATAAGACAATTTTCCCATGATAGTCGGGAAGCAATAATCAAACTTTAATAGGGAATAACAAATGTTTAATCTTCTCACTTTAAAGTTAACGATTATTACTTATTCTTGTTCAAATAGGATCTAAGCATATGTTTAGATGGATCAATAAAATCTTTACTACACATATTTTTTTTATTGGATTAAAAAAAACATGTCTTCTTCATATTAATTTGGCAACTTATGAGAGTTTAAATTTTAATTGTTTTTACAACTATAGAAACTATGTTGATGCAAAATAGAGGCATGGGTCAACTTAGTTATTCCAAATAACGTAAGAAGATATCATATACTCATTTGTTCTATTCTCAGTATAATTAACACGTGTATACACTTTTATCGTCTAAACCTTAAAACTTTAATAATTCAGCATTTTAAAACGTTAACCATAATACATTTGGCTCAATGCAGGCTATTGATCCAAAATTATTGATTGAATTATAGTACTCCATCCATATAAGCTAAATGTACAACATGAATTATTTCCATATCAAAAAGTCAGAATAAATAAATAAAAAATAATAATTCAAGAAGAAAGTGCATGCACGATACAAATCAAACATCATGCTTAAAGTAATGCAGGCTTATACAAGCAATTAAGTATATTCTCACCCCATAAACACAAGCAATTAATAATTATAACATACTAATAATTTTTGTGGTGCAAATTAATAATAACTTAATAAATAAGTATACAATATAAATATATACATGTAATTTCCTTATTAAATTAAATTAAATTAAATTGAGAATAGGACGCAAAGTTGCACATGAGCATCTATTCAGAGAAGTAGTTATTATTGCCTAATGCCTATGTAAAGGCAGGCTGTTATGCTGCAATGCAGGCATAGTGGACTTGGTAACTCATCAATTTTATTTTTCTGTTTTTATTATTTTTATTTACGGCTTTTTTATTTTTAAGCCTACATAAATATACTGCTACTACTAGTATAACATCAGCTCACATGCAGCTCATACGTTAACTGCTCTCTTTTCAACCGAAAAAAAACATTTGGACCCCACTATTCATGTGGACCCAACTCTTTTTCATATTTCTTAAAAAAATTGTATTTTTAATTTTTTTTATCAATAATATAATATAAGGATAAGATCTGCTCGATAAAAAACATTTTATTTTAATGATAATATTTCGACTTTTCGAGTATAAGTGTATAACACTTTTATTTCTTGAAGGACTTTAACGAATGAAATAGCTAGAAGTAATTTATGCATTATTTTAGAATGTTTGAAAAAAATGTTTGTGTTTCTTAAATTAGCAATGATTCATTAACTTATTTTGACTTTTTTCCAAAACGTTCATACTAATTAAGAAGTAATGATATGACCGCAATGTGGATACTATCATAAGGTCTGTAGCTAGTAAGATTGACATAACTTTTTAAGGAAACAAGTACTAAACACTAGATACTTGAAAATTTAGACAATTCAAGTAAACAATAATGAGAAGCATATCATTTTTTTCATATAGTATTTAACACCCAAGTGTAACTATACATTCAATTCGCTCCCTCACATTCTTCTCCCTCAGTACACTACAAGACCATATACACAAGAAGCAAAATACATCCGACCTGAACATAAGATAAATTCGTACGAAATAATATTATAATAATGTAACGAGTTCATATGTGGTCCAATCTTATAAGCACATCTACACTTGATTGCCACAAACCATAAGCAACGAGCAACCATAACGGCTAAGTGAAAAGCACAAAAGCAGCTGCTGCACCATTCTGATTATCTTATTGTACGTGCAAATAAACTTCTGCAAAACAAACTAATTTATATGTACTTAATAAACAACTTAAAACCCACATACTCTGATATAACTTCCATCTTTGGAACTATGAACATTTTATCCATAATTTGCATGATGTGTAACGTCCACAAAGGTGTAACAGAACATGTGTAACACAAAGAAAGCAACAGTGTATTACACATTTCATTTCTGATCTGAAATTATATACATTTGATTTGTTCTTTCCCAAACACCAGTGGATAATAATCCTTAGTTCCTGGCCTCAGTGTGCATGTATGTACATACGTAGTACGTTTTCCTGCAAATTTTATGCTTTGAAATGCTTTACTTTCCCAATGTTTTTGCTGATCCATCTTGCAGTAGATTTTTATTCAATTGAAGTACAGTTCCCAGGCTACGGTTAATCTTCGATCTCCCCGGGATAATGTTTTTATTACGGACTAGCCGTTTATCATATATTTCGATCTGTTGAGTACATGAGAAAATCCGCATGTGAGTGAAAATGTTGTTCCACATTAAAAGAGTATCCCATATTGAAGAAAAGAAAATGTTGTGTCCACTTTATAAGGCTAAGGGGGGCTACTTCCCTCATTGCTATATGGTTTTTAAGTGGAACGTTCTTGGTCGTATAAAATGGACAGTTATAACGAATTTAGCCCAGATTCGTTTAACACGATAATACTGATCCAATCACTTGTTGGTCCAATTTTTATGATAGTAGCAACTGCATTTATGCAATACGTCATCCTTTGAGCTAAGAAACCTTTAGCTTAGATGTGTGTTAAAATGGTGCCCACTTCATGCACACGTATTTGATAGGCTAAGGTAAGTGGTGGTTATAGTTAAGAACCAATTAAATGAGTGAAATTAAAACCGACATTGGATAATATATTAATGCCATTAGTATTTTTTTTTTTCATTTTTTCAGATGATATTTATGAATTTTACGTGACAAACTTTTGTAGCGTATATATTATTCAGCCATGCAGCATAAATCATGGTGCTATTATACAATTCGCCACACTTCCAAAGAGTTCGGTTTATCGTTTTCAGATCATGCATGCGACTATACCCGTGCAAAACTTGGATAAGGTTTTCTTTTCCTTTTCCTCCATATTTAATAAATTTACTGAGTTATTTATATACTCTATCTATCCACAAATAATTTCGGAATTACTATTGTTTTAGACTGTAAATGGGAACATATTCCTCTATTATTGATAATGTAGTTACTTCTGATTATTATTTAGTTAATCAGAGGGGGACCTTTCACCGGGGCCAGCCCCCCATAAATTATTGTAATTAATTAGTTAATGAACTTAAAAAACTTATAATTATTTATTAAAACTTTTTGGGTGTTTAGAGAGCCACAAGGGTGGGGATGAGAATCGATCCCAGGATCTCTTGGTATCGAGAGGGTAGTTTTTGACTTGAGCTATCCCTCACTCTCAAATTAGGTAAGATTATATTATACATATTTGTCAGCATATAAATACATATGTAGATATGTTAAATATATCAATATGTCATAAATTTTCTTATACGGAGTACTTAATTAAAGATATTAATGATATTTTTCAAAAAAAAAACAGGTATTATTGAATACGAGTCCATGAGTCACAACATCATACGAAATTTAATGCATGCTAGGCTCCTAGCTTAAGAATGAACTTTTTTCTTATTAATCAAGTAGACGTCGTTAACATAATTTTTGTTATTAATAAAATGGAATTATACAAGTACATGATTTAAATAAGTAGGATATAAGTAATGAAAAAACATGTAAACCTGTCGTCTTATCTCTTGTGCAATACACTATGCGACATACGAAGTATATCATTTGCTTAGAGTTATAGCTACCCATGATTTCATTGGTTTGAGGAGCTACAAACAAGATGAGCATATTAATGAAATAATTTAACTTGTTTAAATGAAGGCATTACTTCCTCTGTAAGGGCTGTTACCATAAGAAAAGTCGTCTTCACTTTTCAACAACTAACTTAATCCGTCATTTTTTTTTGAAATACGTAGACATAATTTGTACTCTGTAAAAGATTTGTACGGAGGACAAATGTAAGTTGCTTATTATTCGATTTTGCCAAAATAACATCAAAGTCCCAACTTTGATAAGCGGAAGAAACAACTTGGTATTGTGGTATGATTGCATGAAACAGGTTTTTGAAGTCTGTAAAGTAGTTATTACAGACAAGATCCTTAATATTTTTGTTCTGTTTTATAGAGTCCAAAAATAGTAAACACAAAGAGTATAAAGCTCCCAGTTTTTAAGGGATTTGCATGGTTGAAGATTAACCTTTGTATAGAAATCACCAGATTCAGTAATCATCGCGCGATTCACAATCTGTCTCTTAATTTTAATAATCTAGCATCTAATTGCAATGAACCCTCTCCAACACCCTCGTCGTGATAGTATAATTTGTGACATATAACAACTCGAACCCCTCCTGCACCCCCCTTGCAAGTCCTGGAGGATTAAACTAATGTCAATCTCTTTGTAATAAACCGATATCAACTTTCCCCAACAGAGGGTTCTTTTTCCTTCCCCTGCTCTTCCCCCCATGGCTACCTTATGCAAGACAAACTTTATGAATGTTTTGCAGGGTAGACACATCCGGCGGCTGATAGTATTGAGAGCTCATCATCATCACCGTAATTCACTAGTATCATACAAAAAAATTAAGGGTCCGAATACAAGCTATGATGAACCATCCTTTCGCAGATGGTGCAAACCACAAACGGAAAAGACAGAAAAGATAGAGAAGATACCGAGGGGATCCTTACCTGTTTATGTAGGGCCACAC